TCTCTAGTGCTGGTGTTACAGAAATGTACCACCATGCCTGGCTACTGTATCTCTTGAATGCATTAAAAGGCCACATCAAATGACTTCTACCATCTAGGTTAGGATAAGTATATCCTATACTGTTCACACACAGATGAAATTTTCTAATATCAAATTTTTCAAAAAATTTCCCTGTTATTGAACAATGACTGGCTGTAAATAAAATCAAAAATTAAAGAGGAGACATTAGGAATGGTATCACAGAAATGCAAAGAATAATAAGAGTGTTATAAACAATTTTATGTCAACAAACTGGACAGTCTAGATGCATTGCTGGAAACAATTTACCAAGACTGAACCCTGAATAGAAAATGTAAAGAGACTGAATGAATACTGAGGTTCCAGTTCTAAAGACTGCTTAGATGAGTTCTACCAAACATTTAATGAAAAGGTAAAGAATCTGTACACTAAAAAGTAGAAAACAGTGATGAAAGAAATCGAAGAAGGCACAAATAAATGGAATGATAGCCTATGTTCATGGATTAGAAGAAACTGTGTTAAATATCAATACTACCCAAAGGAATCTAGATTCAATGCAATTTCCATCAGAATTCCAATGGCATTTTTCACAAAAAACAGAAAAAAACAATCCTTAAGTTTGTATAACACTACAAATTAACATGAATAGACAAAGCAATCTTAAGCAAAAAGATCAAAGTTGGAACAAAACTGACCCCAAAATATATGAATATATGAATATATTTATTATACTAGCCGTAATAATCAAAATAGCATAGTATTAGCACAAAAACAGACCAAAATATAGACCACAAAATATAGACCAAAGGAACAGAATAAAGAGTCCAGGAACAAATCCAAGCATTTATACTCAATTGATCTTTTGTTGTTTTTTGTTTTGTTTTGTTTTTTGAGATAGGGTCTTGCTCTGTAATTCAGACTGGTCTTGAACTTATGATGTAGCCCATGCTGGCCTCAAACTTGTGTCAATCCTCTTGAGTTGGCCTCCCCAGTGCTAGGATTACAAGTGTGCACCACCACACCCAGCCCAGTCAATTAATTTTTGACAGATACTAAGAACATGCAATGGAGAAAGGATAGTCTCTTCAATCTGGTGTTGGGAAAAGTGAATATCCACGTGCAAAAAAAGAAAAAAGAAAAAAGTTGGACACTTACGTCTCCCTATTTATATTTGAGGTTTAAGTATAAGACCTGAAATTGGCATAATCCCAGCACTCTTGGAGGCTGAGGCAGGAGAACTGCAAGTTTGAGCTTGGGCAATTTAGTAAGACCCTACCCCAAAATAAAAAGGGCTAGGGATGTAGCTTAGCGTAAAGGCCCTCGGTTGAGTCTCCGGTACTCCCCTCCAAAATATAGAGAATTATAGAGATGTTAAAGAAGACCTAAATGAAGACAAATACTATGTTGAAAGATTCTGAGACATCATATTATAAATGAGAATTCTCCCCAAACTAACTTAGAGATAGATAAAATATCATTATAATTTTAGTGCAATGTAAATACCCCCAAATTCTCAATAGATGCCTTTTGACTTTTTTTTGATAATTGCAAGTCAATGTTTATATTAAAATGCAAAAGGCCAAGAACCGTTGAGGTACCATGATGAAAAATAAGATTAGAGGACTGACTGTTCTATATCAAGATTCATATAATCCTATTAGATTACTGCAGTTAAGAGAGTATAATACTGGTACAGAAATACCATAGAACCAAATAGATTATAATTAGGCATGAATAATCTGAGTCTAATCACAAGGCAATAATAGATAAACCCAAATTAGGGAACATTCTATAAAGTAATTGCCCTGCATACCACCACCCCCCCCCACACAAATGGAAATTAAATGTAGTGATGGATGGGTTACTTTGTGACAGTCATTTCACAATGTATTTAAAATTTTTCCTTTGTAAAACTTGAAAATCTATAATTTTTGGTCCAGTATGCCTAATTAATGCTGGAATAAATAAATGAAATAATTGATATTCTTCTCTAAAAAAATCTCAATGTTATAGAAAAACAAAGAAATGCTGAGGAATTCTTCCACATTAAAGGAGACTAATGGCAACTAAATGCAATATAGGTCTGTGTACTGTATCCGTGCTAGAAGGTTGAAATACTATAGTAAAATGAGATAATAAGAACAATTGACAACATAGGAATATGAAATGTAAAATACTGTTTATTAGTGTTATACACATCTTTATTTTAATTGTGATACCCTGGTTATAAGAGTGTAATCCTTGTTCTTAAGAAATTAACACTTTGAGCCAAGTGTGGTGGCGCACAACTGTAATCCCAGCACTCAGGAGGCTGAGGCGGGAGGATTGCTGTGAGTTCTAGACCAGCCTGGACTATAGTGAATTCCAGGTCAGTCTCAACTACATAGTGAGACCCTGTCTCAAAAAACCAAAAAAAAAAAAAAAAAAAAAAAAAAAAAAACAAAAAAAAAAAAAACAAAACAAAACAAAAAAAAACGAAATTCACACTTTGAATTAAGGAGTGAAAGGAAATAGTGTATGAAATGTATTTTAGAATTACTCAATGAATCAACAGCAAAATCAAATCTAATTGGAAGATTGAGATCTGGGAGCAAAATTAGAACTGATCAAGCATTTAAGGAAAGATTGCCGTAACTGAATTGGAAATTTTAATTTTTCTCTAAGCAGACTTTTTGAAAAACAGCTTCCAGACAAACGTAGATAAACTTGATGCATCCATCAATTTAGAAAAAGATCTAAGGGTACTGGATCTGCTATGTATCCTTCCTTAAAAATCACAATGATCTCAACAGCAAAAAGTGCACCATTATCTTGATTCACACATAACATGCCTAATATGTCTTATCTGTGTTCCTATACCAATGACATAGTACTTAAGTTTATTAAAATTAACAATGGAGTGTGAAATTAGCCATTCCTGAAGAAACCATTATAAAATTCTTAAAAGATTAAAATGCAGACAGGCTTGGAGATAATGAGATAAGGGCTACTTAGGACCTTTAGAAAACAGGCCATCAGTTCTGATCTCTTGCATTTCACCTAATGTTCCCAGGACACTGACGTAAAAGAACAGTTCTCTGACTTGACCAATCTTCTCCCTAAGAAGGCAGTGAGACTGTCTCCACTCAAGGGTCAGGATTTCCCACCTTTATTTTAGCCGGCCAGGGGGCGCTGTAACAGTGTAGTCATCTTTGTTCTCTGCCTATAATTGTTACTTTTTTCTCCTTTTCCTGGCAGTTTGAATCTGTATTCCCGGATTTAGGTTACTCATATTTGGCTCAGAATAAACTACCTTCTTGCTTTCCTTTAAGGCAGAGTCTTTATTTTGCATTTACAGGTGTTGTTTTTGTAAGACTTAAAAGTCTCACTTCCACTCCAAGGAGCGCAAACAGCCCAAAAGGCCTTTGCAATGTTGGGCCCTAAAGCCCAATGAGGCTCCGTGAGCGCTATCGAGGAACGAGAAACCCAGGAAGGAACACACCAGGCTAGAGGGTAAAAGACCTTTATTAGTCTGGCCACACGGCACTCTCAGAACCAAGTGGCTGGCTCAGAGAGGCACCTAGCTCAGGGGCTGAGGTCCTCTTATAGGGAGTAAAAGAGGGGGTTAACATTTTTGGGCTCACAGACAGGGGACAAAGGTCTGCTGACTTGAGCTGGTGGTCAGCAGTCACATGCTCAACAGTCACATATTGATGAGTGACAGGTACCACACATAGGATGTCTCAAAGGTCACCAAGACACTCCAGATGAGCAAACAGTTTGTCAATCAACTTGGGGCTCTATGTCTGGAGTCTCTAATTTACAGGTAGATTCAGATCCGGACTTCAAACAATACAAGAGTGATACACATTCTTAGGCCAGGGCTGGAACAAAGGTCGGGGCTGTGGCCACAATGGGAGGGGTTCAGGACACTGTCACCTAGGCCCTTTGCCATTTAGCAAGGGCTTGTAATTTAGGTCCCACAGTTTTCTTAAAACACCACAAACAGTTACAGTTAAGAAAATTGGAGTAAGCCACAGAGGCCTAACTGGTGTTCGGAGTAGCAACTTTAAATTTTTTTATTTTCTGTGCTTTCTGCCACATCTAGACATTTGAAATTTTAACATAGCCTGTCATTTGTTTTGAGTTTGTGGTTTTTTTTTAATGGTGCTGGGAAAAGAAACCAAGGCCTCCTGCGTACTAGGCAAGCAATCATCACTTGAGCAACACTTCCAGCTCCTAAGACAATTTCAGATCTTTTCTGAAATTGGAAGTTCTTCACACTGTGAAGTAACCTACCGATTAAAGTGTTCCTTTCTAATGCTTGCTATCTTATCCGCCTCGCAGCGGGTTTTCCCAGCGTGGAAGAGCAGGGACCCGCTACCCGGCACCCAGGTAGCGCCGCGTTCCGGTGCGGTTCTTCAGGCCGTGGACGCCGGCGCA